AGTGCTCTGCTTTTCTTTGGGTGGATCCATGTCTCCATCTCTACCATTTTACTTCTTAAAGAACTTCTTGAAACATTTCTTATAGGTCTGCTGGTGTTTGGATTTTACAGCTGTTGCATGTCAGAAAATAAATCTTTATGCTGGTTTCATTTATAAAAGATAAGCCAGTTTTAGCTGGCTTTGTTTGCAAGGAAAGAAAAAAAAAAAAAAGAGCAATGAGCAAGAAAAGGTTGAGGAATTTATTGTTACCAGGCCAGTGACGATTATGAATTTTTGTTGTGCTCTGAGTCATTAGAATTTTCTATTACAGAAATAATGATAATTTTTAATTTCTCTTTCTTTTCCCCCTTATTAAGCTGAGTAAGTATTCATTAATTTTATTATTTTTCCAAAGAAGCAGCTTCTGGTTTTAATTTTCTTTATGGTTTTGCCATTTATTTTTTATTACTTCCTACTTTTAACTTTATTGCCTCCTTTTAGCTGCCTATATTGAGATTAATTTAATTTCCTTTCTTTCTTACTTCTTAATTGTTCACTAATAAAATTTTGAAAAATTAGTATGTTTTAAACTTTCTAACACATGTCTTTTTCCTAGTACCAATTTGTTACTGATTTCTATTTCAATTTCTTGCCATCAGAGAATATGTAATATCAAAAACTTTTGACATGTATTGTTATTTTTTCTAATGGCCCAGCAAATACTCCGTTATAGGGACTATATCATGTACAATTGGAAATTATAGCATTTTCATGTATCAGCCTGTATTCTCTGTTCTTTTAAGTCAGTTGTGTATCTTAAATTGGTATATAATCAGTGATTTATTTTTGTTTTTTGTTTTGTTCCTGTTGGTACTTCAATATAAAAGAGCAGCTTTAAATGCTTTACAGTTATGGCTTTTTCTACTTTATTTTTATCTTTGTGGATATTTGAATCATGTTCTTTTTTTTTCTTTATAATTCTGGTATTAAGTTCGCCTTTTTTAAAATAAAAATTAAAATAAATCTTTACAAAGGACTGTTCCGGACCAAAAATCATTCTAATCAAATTATTGCTGAGCAGCATGACATAATCAGCTTTAATTTTAAGTTGATAAATTAAATGTAGGTTTTCGTTTCATTTTTACTGATATACAAGTTGTATGCTGCCCTTAAGAGAGAAAACTGTATTTTTAGGTGTCAAAAGGTGTTGTGTCTTGTTCCTCAGGAGTGCCAGAGAAACTGAAGAATAAAAAAGATTGCAAAAGAAGATAAGACTTGTCTGCACACTGTTTCCTGTGAAGAGGGCGAGCTGGAACCAGAATGCCTTGCTGTGCTCTCCTGCCGCTAATGCTGGCCATTCCTCTGCTGTGGCCGGGCCTCACGGCAGCCTCCTACTCTCAGGCAGAGAAGGGCAGCCAGCCAGCAAGGCCTCGTTGGAGAGGGAAGCGCGGGTGGATGTGGAACCAGTTTTCTGTCCCAGAGGAACTGAACACCAGCAGTCATCACGTAGGCCAGGTACCGATTATCTAAAGAGCTACAGGAAATAGCATCATATGAATGCAACATTTGCATTGGACAAGCCTTGGTATGTAGTGATTGGACATTTTCTCAGTGGAATCCCTAGAACATGGTGAACAGCAACATGATTACTGGCTTCAGGTTTGTAAACATCAACAAAGCCACCAAAAATGGAGGGAAAGGAGGTAGTTTTAGCATTCAAATTCCTATCCAGGCTCCAATCGAAAAGACACTGTCCTTTATCAGCATCTGGATATTTGATGGTGTTATTTTTGTTGATGGAGCAAAGCAATTACTGGGAAAACAGTTCAAGTTTACCAACAGTATTTAACCTGATTTTCTATTATGCTAAGTAGGTATTGATTTACCCCTCATTAATTTTTAATGAAGCAAGATTAATACCAAAGCCTTACACAGTTATGTTCCTTCAAGAAGCTGTATCCTTCATTTGATTAGTGAAGTTGAAGACAAAGAAGAATTATTTTCACTATCCTACAAGAATGTAACTTAAAAAAAATTTTTAATGAGACAGATCATTTCCTATTTATGTTTTTGGGTTTTATTATTATTTGGTCTTCTTTAAACATGGGTAATTACAGTATCATGTCCTTTCCTGTAAGGCTCTTTCTCCAGATGAATGAACTGAAATAAGTTTAACTGCTAATTAACTGGCACTAAAATTTAATTGGGCCCAAAGGGTGAAGCACTCAAAATTCATTAACTCTCCTTTTCTAGTACTTTCAGAAGTGCAGCATTATCCGCATGCCTACATTTCACAGGAGTCCATTTATACCTTGAGTCAGAGGTGCAAGGTTTTGTTCATCTCAAGGCTTCTGGTAGGATCTTAAGCAGGTTCCAGTCTTTCGATCTACTTTGAAAGAGATCTAGTTTGGAAAACACAAGTCAAATTTAAAGTGATATTTGTTTGCCAAGTCGTGGTAACTGCCCAATCAAAAACATTTTTTTGAGGGCCCCTCCCTGTGGCGCAGCAGGGTACAGCACAGCACTAACAAGCTAAAGCCACTTCAGCATGAGTTCAATTTCCGACCCCAAAGGTGACCCACAGGGCGCGCAGACCTCTGCTGACCCGCCCGCTGCTCCCCTCACAGCAATGTGCTTCGTCAGTCTGCCTGTTCTGCTCCCCACTCTGTCTCTGGTGAAGCCTCTCACCCTCCGAATCTCTGACCTGTACCCCAGTTCTGTATGAATAAATAAATAAGTCTTTAAAAAAAAGAAAAAAGCATGAATTTACCTAAAATAGTGTTTCTTGGTTAACTGTAAATTTTCAAGGAAAGTCTTACTTTGAAGAAGAGCATAGTAATAAACAGTTAATCAAGAAAGTCATGCATTCAAAATTGCTAGGGGATTATTATTTTATGAAAATAATTTAGATATTAGAAAAACACACAACCAATGTCACTTATAATAACCTTTTTTGGTATATATTGTAAATGATAATTTTAAAGTCTAAATAATCGTTAGCACTGTGAAAGATTAACACATGTACTTTGCCTTTAAAGAAAACAATGAAGGGAGAAGAAAAAATATATTTGAGAATTGAGTAGAAAATGGGAAAGGGAGGAAAGAGTTTTTATTAATCTCACTAAAACTCAAAGATAAACAATCATGTTATCTGTGGTTTGTAGGAGGAGATTTGAGATCAGACTAGACTGGGATCAAAATCATAAATCTATATAAAAACCATGTGACTAAAAGTTCTTGAAATTTCCAATCTCACATTCCTGCTCTATAGAAAGGACTGATCATATCAATAATATATATATCTCATACTATTTTGAGGAGATTGAGAAAATTAATGTAAAATAATTTGTAGTTTTTAATGAGTGTCCAATGAAAGTTGAGATTATTATTCTCTTATCAACATGTGTTTTTAATAATACATCCTTGCTTTCTATGTATTTTTTTGTTTAACTCAAGGAAGAACATCCGTATCTAAATTTAGCTGCTCTGTCCCTAAGTCCCAATTAATATAAATAAAGTATGGCTTAGTGACTAAAAATGTTAACTACTTGACACAATTCGAACCAACTTCTTTGTGTGTAAATTATGAAAGTGTTTTTGATTTTAAATGATTGTAGTTTCTAATTAAAATCCTGCATTTAGAGTAGTAACATTTGCATATATAATGAAAACTCAGAGACACCTCTGCCTACTGATAGATTTAAATCTTAAGAATATTGTCTTAACTTATTTAATATAAACCAGGGATAACATGCAATTACTAACTTGGGGAGTAATTGGCGGATATAGAAGTGAAATCGTTAAAATACACGTGTTCATTTTAGTGTATCCAGAAACTAAATTCTGCCTCTTTCCACTTGCAGTTGAGATCTGATTTAGACAATGGAAACAGCTCCTTGCAGTACAAGCTTTTGGGAGATGGTGCTGGAAGTATTTTTGTCATTGATAACAGAACAGGTGACATATTTGCCAAACAGAAGCTTGATAGAGAAGAACGGTCCCTCTACATCTTGAGAGCCCAGGTAATAGACACCATCACTGGGAAGGCTGTGGAACCCGAGTCTGAGTTTGTCATCAGAGTCTCGGATATCAATGACAATGAACCAAAATTCCTAGATGAACCATATGAGGCCATTATCCCGGAGATGTCTCCAGAAGGTATTGCATATTAATTTCCATCAAAGATTATTAAGAATGAAAATTGTTACATTTCTAAACCTGTACTAGAAGTAAACTTTTTAGTTAAATATTCCCACTTTATTCTGCAAGCATGTTAAGAAAAATATTTTAAAAATTAGTCTATAAAAGTTAATAAACAATGGTTGCACATTAATTATGTCTGCTTAAAAAGTTATCTTAGACTGCAAGCCATAGAAAAAGGTGAGATGTGTTTGTGTAAGGCACAAAAGTCTTTCACTTGTTCACTTACTGATTTTATTAACATGAGAATGTACTTTAAAAAAATGCATTTTTCTTTCAAAAAAGGAAATAATATCATCCTGAGATATATGAAATTAAAAATAGGGGGAAAAACAGTTTAAGAGTCAAAAACAATAGTGTATAGATGAAAACCATAGAACATGAAGACTAAAATCAAAACAAAATGTTTGAACATCTCTGTGACTGTATCACTTTCAAGCTCCTTTTTTAATACAATGTTGTTTTTCTAAAATTTTAGATACATGTAAAACAGAGTATTTTTTAAAATATAAGAATTGACTGGCTTCAACATCAAAAATGTATTCCCAGTACATGCAAACTTTTCCATCTATTTTGATAATATTAAAACATAATTCACACAATTTCCTTGCTGGATAAACTTACATAAATTTCAATAGTGCTTATTTTAAAATGTGCTAATATGCTGGAAAACTACTTGATCTAAGTATTCATTTGCCAGCAAATCTAAAAATGTATATACTTTATTGTAATTTTCTGATTTTTTTAATTGTCTTTATCATGGTAATATTCGTTTATACACTGTATATCATTCAGAACTACATAGGAGCCCACCTCTTCAGGCTCTCAGTTATAGATGCCTTTAGATGATGTGTGTTCAGAACATAGTTCTTTAATTATGGTATCACTCACTTAATTATGTAATATGTATCAAGATCAATTAACACTAGATGTAAATGACACTTGAATATTATACTATTTCCCTGCAAGATAAGATAGTTCTTATTAACCCCTCCCTCTTCTTCTTCCTGTCTTCCTCCTCCTTCTATACCAGCTCCTTCAATGTATGTGTAGTGAACCTAACATGTTCTCACAACTTTTTCTTATATGTGAGCATTCAATTGTAAAGAAGGTTTAAGAGGTGATTGATGCCACTGAACCTGTATTTTAGCTATAATACACGAATAATCATGTTAAATAAACAAGATTATATTTGATCTGTATGTTATATTAGTATTAGGTAATAAATTGGCTAGGAAATGTAGACTTATTTAGTAATGCAAATTAGAAATGTTACAAATAGGCCAGTCATAATAATCCTAAACAAAAATTTTGAAGAACAGGTGATGAGACTTGCATGTATAAAATGAGAATTTTTGGCATATAGCAAGCACATAAGGAATGGTATTAGAATGAGGTCCACTTTGGTAGTCAGTGTAAGCAAAGGATGGCAGACAAGGTAACTTGATTGCTAGGTAAAGGGAGACTAGCTTGGATATTAGAGTTTAAGAGATTACCTAGAGATGAAAGAAGAGGAAAAAGCAGAAGAGATATTCCCAAAGAATAGATTCTCCAACTGTGTGGGATGCTGCTGTGTGGTAGAGCAAAATCAGGTCAAAGTAGTGACTTGTTATTTGGCAAACTGAAATGCCGCCACTAAAATTAGTAAGAGCAATTTAGTTGAATTTTTGCAGCTGTTGGAAATTGCAATGCATGGACAATTACTGCATGAACAGAATTCAGGGGCCCCCGTGAACAGAGCAATTTTAAAGGGTATTTTACTACGGGGGGGAAATATATGTGCGTGTGTGTGTGTGTGTGTGTGTGTATGTGTGTGTATATGTGTGTGTGTGTGTGTGCACACATATAGCCCTGTGAGGTCTAGGTTGAGACAGATGAAAGCAAAAGGGATTTGTGGTTGTTGTTTATCATTATTTTATTTATTATTTAAAGATTTATTTATTTATACATACAGAATGGGGGTACAGGCCAGAGATTCAGGGGCGGTAAGAGGTTCACCAGAGACAGAGTGGGGAGCAGAACAGGCAGATCGACAAAGTATACTGCTGAGGGGAGCGGTGGGCGAGACAGGAGAGATCCGCTGTGCCATGTTGGGTCACCGTCGGGTCCGGGATCGAACTTGTACTGAAGCGACTGCAGGTGGCTTGGGCTGCGCTTTAACACATTGCACCACGAGGGAGGACCCTATTTTATTTTTTATTAATATGGGAAATTTAGTAACAGTTATATACTGTAGGGAGCAACTCATGAAGAAAGTGCTTTTAAAGCAAAATAAAAAAAAAAAAAGGATATAACTACTGAAGAACTATTTTTGAGAAGGGAAAGGGCCATGAAATGCAGGGTATTAGAGGAGCCAGATTCAGATAATTTAACACATTGATAATTAACCAGTTAATTAGTGGATGCTGTTATTTTTGTCAGTGAAGTAGGAGACCAAAATAGTAATTGAGAGCAACTGGGGCAGATTTTTACATGAAGAGGAGTACAAAACAGGGTTTTTGCAGAGTGAGCCCAGGGACAGATAAGAATGTGAATGATGCAGTAATTGCAGCATGCCATCATGTGCACATCTCACTGTGGTGGAGTCTATAGAGATTACAAAGCACTGATTTGGTCTGTGCAATATTTGGCTCTCAATGTGCATCACAACTTGAGAGACATGTGCGTATTACATTGTCAATCAGTGGGATTCAATACATCCCATTGCAGAGCCTTTCGGGATCTGGGCTTTGTTTGGAATCACATCAAAATCAATGAGCAGTTTTTATAGCTTCCCTTTGGGAGGAAAGAGCCCGCACAAGCTGGTCAGCTGCTATCAGAAATGTGACCTGATATGGAAATCTGGGCATAGCTGCTTTGCTCCTTCAACCAGTTTCATGGTTTCCTCTGAAACAGCCCGTTTGTCATTGACATTGCTTTAATGAAATTGATTCACAATCTAGGTAGTTTCTCCTTCTCGTTCAGTCTCAATATTTAGTTAATGAATAATGTGAATACTTTCACCTGAGTATATTTTAAGTCTTCATTTTCTTTCTTTATCCTTAATAGTTGATGGGTTCTTGAGAGTTGATCCTGCTTCTTAAATTCCCCATCCACCAGTTTTGTCCTTTAAAAAGCAACAGATGCAGGCACTCCATTCTTCTTTGTCTTTTAAAAATAGATTTGTGCTGTATTATAGTTAACTACAGAATATTCTGTTTGGACCTGTACTTTAAACTTAGTTACTGAGCATGTCATTAGAAGAAACAAACAAAATCCCTACAACAGTCCTACATTCATTTATATGTACTGATAAACTTTTGCATATATTTGAAATGATATTATTTTAAAACAAGTACTTTCAGAAATTATCATGAAACATCAAGTTTTTCCCAAACTGGACTTGCATTTGCAAATATATCTTTCCTCAACACAAAAATATAAGACCTAATTAGTAGGCCAGGAGTCACACACTGTGTCTGAGATTTGAGATATCTGTGTGAGTAAAAGAATGAGTTAATGAAGGCACAGAAACTCTGCCTAAGTGATTAGACTCTGGGAGATGAGGAGAGTATGTTTTTGGTTGAGGCACTTAATGACTTAAAGTGCTGACGTAATCTCTCAATAACAACTCTCATTCTAAAATTCCTTAGTGTAAAGGCTGCATATTCATTTTCACTTTAGGCTTTTTTTAAATATTTCTTTATTTCTGCATACAAGAACCAGAGTGCAGGCCAGAGGTGGAGGGAGCTGAGAGGATTCATCAGAGACAGAATGGAGCACAGAACAGGCAAATCTACTGAAATACACTGCTGAGGGGAGTGGAGGGGAGCAACAGGGAGACGGCTGCACCATGTGAGTCAGCTCCCTGGGTGGGAATCGAACTCTTATTGCAGTGGCTGGATACAGTTTGAGAGCTCTGTGTCTTTAACCCCTGCACCACCAGGGAAACGCCCATATTCATTTTTAGATTTATTTTTTATTACCATTGGGTTACCAAAATGTGTATGATTCCGGTGGATAAGTCGACCCCTCCTCTGTGTCTCTACGCCACACTCACCACTACAGCTCCCTCCAGCCTCCTCCACTGGCCTCTCATCTGCAACCATATGTCTAGGGTTTATTTTGGTTTAGCTTTTTCAATTCTTTTTGCTTAGTTTCTCATTATGAAATTTTATATATGAGTGAAATCATCAGACTCTTTACATATGAGTAAAATCATTTGCTCTTCTCCTGATTTATTTCACTTAGAATGATCTTCTGTCCTTTTAATTTTATCTGATAATAATCTTCCCTTTCAATGATGGTAGTTAGTTTGCCCACAAAATTAGCATATCAAAGGGGAGGGAATGTAGGAAGACTTTTTATCTGTGAAATATGCAGTCAAGTCTCCGTTGATTGATTAGGGCAAAGACAATCCATAGTTTACCTGGAAGTTTTGTTGAGCTATCTTCACATGACCTTAAAAAGCAGAGACTGGGTAGTTATTTTCTGCAAACCATACCAAGCCCTGCGAAAAAGGTGAGTTATACTTTATCAGTTTTTCTAAAAGTCTTGTCATTCAAGGTCTTGGAATCTTATATTTACAAGTCACATTTATATCTGCAATTTATTTTACACTGATTTCTGTGAGCAGTGTCCAACAAATGCTAACTCCCGGTCCATGGTTATGTGTTAAGTGGATGGATGGAGACATCCGGTTGATGCTCCAACGTTTATTGCTATTAACTGTCTTCCCATTGCTCAGCTGAGGTATCACTGAGGGAATGAGCTCTCTACATGGGTGATTTTATTTCTGAATCTTTGGTAACCTTTATCAGCTCCATATTGTTCTCATGGCCAATAATATACTTACTTTTATATATTTTTTATTTGAGGTAACATTGATTTACAGCATTATATATGATTTTGAGGTATATGTAGGAAGACCCTCTTCAGATGGGTGTTACCATACCACACCCACCCACCACCAAGGCACCCACAGTCCCCTCGTCCCCATCCACACTCCTCTCTGCAGTCTCTCTGCCCCTCTGCAGTCTCGGTTCTTCAGCCAGATTTCTCAGTTACTGTTGCTTAGGTTTCACCTGATCCTTTGTTTTGTTTTTTTCTGTTCCACATATAAGTGACACACTCAGTATTTATCTCTCTCCTGACTGACTTCATTATCATAACCCCTCCAGTTCTGCCCATAGCATTCCTGCTTTTAACTATTTCAGTGACTAAATTTTAACCCTTCACAACCAAATGATTGATGAGAAAGTTCTAAAATGGCCTTTGTCATATTTAGATTGTTGCATTTTATGCCATAAAAATAAGTAAAATGAATAATATATATAATGTAAAATATAGCATGTAAAATATAATATATAAAGCACAATAAAATTAAAACAGTGTAGGAAAATAATAGTTTCTCTTTTTATATTGTAAAATAATTTGGATATAATCTATTTGCAATTTTTTTAGATTTCTATTTTAGTAATGCCACAAATTTGTGTTTAACTTAAAAACATCTTTAATTTTTGTGAGAAACCTAACCTTGAAGTCTATCACACCTTCATAATTCTCAATGAATTATAATCTTATTTATAAGGAGTTGAACTTGCAAATCTTCTAGACTCGTGAGGATCATTTTCAGTGACTCCCTAGATTTTCCTTAGGTATTTATATAAAACTCTTTTTATAGTTTATAAATATCTTATATCACAAACATTTACTTGTGAGTAATGTTTAAAAACTCAAAATTTTCCTATGAAAATAAAAATTTAAAAATAGTTCCACAAGTATGCTGCCATCACCAACATATGCCAACTTCTTCCATAGCACGTGCCCATGGTATTTTAGAAAACAGCCACAGTTCATAGTGATTTCTGTGTTGTTGGGGACAGGGTGACCCAGGAGACTTCACAGACCTAATAGGAGTGATTCTGTAAACAAAGTTCCCAACATGAAAAGCAGCAATTTTCGTAGGCCAGGGGGCTGTTGTTCTGGTGAAGGAGCTGTGGCTTTCATTGTAATTTCCATGTATCACTGCTGTTGCTAACAAAGGAGGAGGCATGTAGGCATGTGCTTGGCATGAAAATGAATGTAGGGTTTAAACATTTATCTTAGCCACCAAGTGTCCTTATACATACATACATACATACACACACACACACACACATATATATATATATATATATATATATGTATGTATTTAAAATATACAATATAAGGAATCGAGGAAGGGGAGATTAAAACTATTGTCGATTGTTCCCATTGAAAGACACCTGATTGGCATCATGTTTTTGTTAATTCTGTGCGTAATATATATCCCTGGTTTTGGAAACTGGTGATGGAAAAAAATGAGGACATGATGAGGAAATGTGAGGGGATTAAATGGATGTTTATGCATGGAAGTGTCGTTAAAAGAACACATTTTTTGCCAAGAATAAACTAATAAAATCTATGGCCCTTAAGAAGTCTTCATAATTACTTTAAGACTATATACCTTCACTCATTCATTTATTCATATATCTATTCAGTCATGTGAGTTAAAACTGTTATATAACATCATATAAGCTAAGGTGCATGTCTTGTTGATTTCATAGTTACATGTCAGTTACTACTCCAGTAACACTTCCAATCACATCCCACAGTATCACTAAGTTTTGGTCTCTTAGCAACTTTGAAGTACAAACAAGCACCAAAATGTGGCACTGCAGACCATAATCACAATACAGTGTGTCAGACTGTAGAAAATGAGACTCCTCATTTTCTACAAGTGTGTCCCCTTTGATTCATGTGTCCCCAGCATTCCCACACCCAGCCCATGGTAACCACCATCCCACTTTGTTTATGTGATTTCAGCTTTGTTAGAGTCTATGTATGAGTGAAATCACAGTCTTTGCTTTGCACTGTCTAGCTTATTTCATCCCACATCAGCCTTCACATTCCATCCATGTTGCTGCCATCAGCAGGAATGTATTCACAAACACCTGAAACTAACTCATGTGTACAGGATGGATGACTGTATAATAATAATAATAAGAAGAAGAAGAAGAAGAAGAAGAAGAAACTTAAAAAGCTCCTATTTTAAAAGACATACTTAACTTGAGCATACATTTCATAGAATGTTTTTGTTTGTAACTGAATTTTATTGAGAATGCTTACTTTGTCAATTATCTGCCCTTTAAGAAATAACTCCTCAAAGCCAGTAACCATTTATAAAATAGAATTAAAGAGGAAAAATTATTATGTTCAAAGTCAATATGATATTATTTCAAGCTCATTTCAATAACCTTCTTGTCAACTTTTACTAACTTCTTATTAATTTTTATGAATACTCTATAATTCTTGAGGCACAGGTCACAATATGATTTTTGGAACAAAGTGTTTCCAGTTTCTTTTGATTCCTCCATTAATAGCATGCCTTTGAGAGGTCATGAATTATATCTTGTAATGGGTTTCATTATGTCACAGATCTACAATGTAAAACCTTTGTAATATAGAATTTTTAAATAATTCTACATTGATATGTGGTTGAGGACTTTTTGGTATGTGGTATATTCTCCTTGCCTATCCAGAGTGCTATATACTTTTATAATCACAGCAAGATGATGGACTAGACTTTATCATCATCTTGCTTATGAAAGGTAGAATGCTTTACAGAGCTGAATTCATCTCCTAGTAACGCCACACACTTAACTTCTTGTTAACACTCATTTCCTCTTCAGGATCATTCGTCATTCAGGTAACAGCAAGCGATGCTGATGACCCTGCCAGCGGCAATAATGCACGTCTCCTCTATAGCTTGCTCCAAGGTCAACCTTATTTCTCCGTTGAACCAACAACAGGTATTTCTGAATCAAACAAAGTAAAATGCAGCATGATTCCAAGTAGGTAAATGTCAGAACAAAAGTTCTCTGCATACACATATGCATAATAGCTGCTTCTGTGATTGTTTACTAGATTCCATGTATGAGTGAAATCATACAATCTCTGTGTTAATAAATAATGTGTTGAGATTTTAAATAATGTTGTTAGTACTTTAGTTGTTTTTTCTAAAGTTGAGAGATTGGCTATTCCGTGCATAGACCACATTGTTTGCATTTGGGGTATAATATAAATAAAGATTCTTACAAGTCAATTAGGAAAAGACAGACAATGCAATAAAAAATATGGGGAAGACACAGTCATAAGCAATTGACAACAAATTGCCATACAAAAAACCTGCAAGCTTATTAAAGCTGTTCAACCTCATTAGTCATCATGGGAATGCAAATTAAAGCCACAGAGGTACACCTGCATACCAATAGAATGAGATTAAATCAGGGTTCACAGTTTGTAAATAAAGTGGTCTGAGGCATACAGTTTTTTTTTTTAAGTTCTGCTTTTTTAATTCAAATCAATACAATACAATATTTATATGTCTATTTTCCTTTTCCATTTACCAGTTGAGTATTTTATGCAATTAAAAAAATGATTTGATGTAACTGAATATAAGAATTATATTACAAAGAACTATTATGCTCAAAAGTAGTCCTGTAACATATTTCCCTTTCTAAGAACTCATAGGTCCTCCCTGGAGGCACAACGGGTTAAAGTGCAACACTAGGAATCTAGCAATAGCTGCCTCAGCATGAGTTCCATCTCTGGCCAGGGAACTGACCCACATGGTGCAACAGACTTCTCCCCACTGCTCCCCTCAGCAGTATACTTTGTGGATCTGCCTTTTCTGACTCCACTCTGTCTCTGGTTAGTCCTCTCACCACCTCTGGCCTGTACCCCAGTTCTGTATATATAAATAAATAAATCTATAAAATAAAAGTGAGGGCTATATTATATTGTGTTGAAGGCAGAATATACTGAAACCAGAGACTATGGCCAAGGTGATTAAGAACGGAACATTTTACAGTATGAGAAGAACATAGGGGAAATTCTAAGATGGGAGAGTGTGGAAACTAATTAGAGAACAGTGTGAAAAAGCAGAGAGGGAGAGTATAGAAATCGGATTACCTGAGGAATAGCCCACATGTTAGGCCATACTGGACTTCATCATGTTAAACCCCGTCTTTCCCCAAAACTTTGCTGACTTTACATTATATCGAACACGTTTGCTGAAACTATTAATTACATTCATGGAAGAGAGGTGGACTTGCAGCAAAAACAATTCACAACCCTAACACTGCAGGGGGAAGCTTTAGTGTGAATAGATGATCTGAGACTACATGTCCTTTGATGATTCTGGAGGTAAGAAGACAAGTTAAAAATAAAGTAGCAATGTTAATTGAAACCCCTACCCGTAGGGAGTGAAACCTCTATGGTCCCCTCACTTACTACTTAAATGATCTCTATCTCTTTGGATATTAATTCCCAAAATTCTAATGTTATTCTACCAATATGAAATGCAATTTGCTCTTGAGTTGTACATAGATGCTAGCAGCATCTATTTAGTGGTTTACATAGCAATTCATATAATAATCAGTGATTATGAAACTCTTTGTACCACACTTACAATCCATCACAATGTGGTTCAATGTTTTGTTTTAACACACATCACAGTTATTTTAGTGGACATTTATTCCTAGACATGCTTATAGATTGTTCTCTTTCTTATAACAAGTGTTATGTGTTCCCAAAATTGTGAGAATTATATTTCACTCACACATGTACCATTTTCTCTAGTTTATTTTTTTTTTTTTAGTGAAAATTAATTTTTGCAATTTCATAGAAAGAAGACACTTATTACAGCACCCTGGTGGTCTAAGTTGAATTGGAATACATACATATACACATGCATGTAGGTTTCAAATAATTGTAATTCAAAAACCAACCCTTCTTCATATATCATGATTTATTAATATTTTCACATCACATATGCGCCAAGCACACCAAGCTTGTTGCCTAAATTTGGTGTTATAATTTGTACATTTAATCCATAATAAATATTTTTCTTCAAAGTTTAGGGGAAAATTTCATTGTTGCACACTGAATCTGTATGACAGAAGACAGAAATAAATAAATAAGAAGTAAAAAAATATTTCTTCTCTTATCTTTGGATTAACTTGAGATAGATTTTCATTAAGGGTCTACTGGTGTCCATGGTATTGATGTGTCTACTCAACTCTCGGCAGAGTAATGTGTTTAATTGTTACTTTTACATTATGTTCTCCAATGCACCATCTAACACAGATGACTCAGAGTCTGTCAAAGAATGACTATTGGTTGAATTCTTAAAAATTACCCTAGCTAGGAAGATACCGTGGTTAATAATAAAATAATAACTGAAGTTTGTTACATTTTTAAAGGAGTCATAAGAATATCTTCTAAAATGGATAGAGAACTTCAAGATGAGTATTGGGTAATTATTCAAGCCAAAGACATGATTGGTCTGCCTGGAGCACTGTCTGGAACAACAAGTGTGTTAATTAAGCTTTCTGATGTAAATGACAATAAACCTATATTTAAAGAAAGTAAGTAGACAGCGTCTTCAATTCTCATAATAACTTAACTATTCATACAGGTATCTCCCACTTTTCTAAAGTTCACATAATGCTACTTCCCTTTTTTACTTAAACCCTACTTTAGTATGTTTCCCTTAACCAAATGAAATCAGAAGATGATGTTCGTTTATGAAAAATGTGAAAAGTAAAAACAGCATATGGCGTTGGTTTTAAAGGCAGCACATACTGTGAGCCCCAAGAGTGGCATGAAGCTCCATCCCCAGATTTTTGCAATTTGAACATTTCCCTTGTTATCTATTTGAGGATGCGGTAGAGAGAGAGTGTGTTAGAATAAGTGTCTAGTGGAAAGTGTAGGTGTTTCCCAATGGTCCATAAGTGAAGGGTTAAGTTATAATCAGGAATATTTTTTTTGTTACTTAGTTATGCAAAATATCTTGATTTTTTTTTAAAGGTTTATACCGCCTGACGGTCTCTGAATCCGCACCCATTGGCACTTCTATAGGAAAAATCATGGCTTCTGATAATGATATAGGAGAGAACGCAGAATTGGATTATAGCATGGAAGAAGACAATTCACAGACATTTGACATCATTACTGATAATGAGACCCAAGAAGGAATAGTTACATTAAAAAAGGTAACTGTATTACAACTATTTCCTTAGCTGAATAGTGTAAGATCAAGTCAGAAATACATATAATTAATTTTCTATAGTTAGCTTTTGTTTCATTAATTGGAATGAGAACCTAGTATGTGTGGTTTAGGTAGAAAAGGAGTTTAGAGAAGGCACTGTTAGCTACTACAGATTATCTTGAGTTATATGTTGAAAAATAAAAAAAAATCAATTGAAGGACATTTTGAAGAGATCTTAAATAACAAAATTCTTAATTCTATAAGAAATGTTGTCCAGAAAAATAGTTTTATATTAAATATGTATAGTTCTTATCTGCAAGCATTTTTAAACACACACACAACAGGGATTTGATATATAAATGCTATATAAATGCTTAATGGTTACGGTACATAAAACGTAAATCTGAATAACAACTGAGATTTTTTTTTCATTTATTACTGAAATTGCCTTGTATTTCTGAATTTATTTCTTCTGTATCCACTATATTTCTTTGCAGAAAGTGGATTTTGAGTACCAGAACCACTATCGCATTAGAGCAAAAGTTAGAAACCGTCATGTTGACGCACAGCTCACGGAATACCACGTGGAACCTTCCACCACTGTCATTAAGGTCCAGGTCACAGATGAGGACGAACCACCAGTTTTCCTCCGCCCGTATTACTTATTTGAAATTTACGAAGGACGCCCACATGGGTCATTTGTAGGCGTAGTCTCTGCCACAGATCCGGATCTGAGGAAATCGCCTATTGGGTATGTTCCCATGATCAGCACTGCAATAATTCACCCAGGAACATAGACTAGCTTAAATTTGAAATTTTATACAAATATAGCAATGATAAACTATAATATATACATTTATATGATGCTTACAAAATTGAAATAAGTTGAAACAGAATCCTACTCTTTATTGGTTAATATTTAGAGAAAGGCGATTAAAATATGCAAAAAATAGACGATGGCCAGCAAAATTCCTTACAATCCACTGTATTAGTTGGAATAAGAATATGCAGGGAAAAGGCCATTACGTATATATGAAATCGCAAATGTTTTGTTTCAAACTATGTAATTGCAATGAATTTTAAAAATTGAGAAAGCCTTTAAGGATTCCACATAAAGGACTAAAAAGGAAAGGAGTCCATTCAGAAATAAACTGTTGCTCCACAGTTAGGGAATATTTGCTACTAGAGTAGCTCTATATCCAAGTACTATATTTTAGCTTTTTTATTTCAGTTATCTGTGTAGATACGGGAAAACTGAAAACCAAAATCCGTTGCATGTTTTTTTTTTTTTTTTTGCTATCTTCCCTTGGTCATGTTTTCCACACCCAGAAGGCCACAGACCTATACAAACTTTGATGTGTATATTAAGCTTCTGAACAATGGATGCTCTTTGAAGGGGAAACTGGTTCAGGGAAAGAGTTTCTGTCAAATTTTGAGACTAAGGAATTCTGCTGCTTACTAAAATTCCTAGTCACAAAACTCTCCCTTCTAATCTGTAGCTATAGTTTTTATTTAGGAATGTAATTTTAGTAACATATATAGGGAAATAAGTAATGAATGAAAGTTTATATGCAACATATATCTATGGACACAATGATAAAAGGAAGCACATAATGATATATATGTGTGTGTGTGTATGCATATATATATATATAAAAGGAAATTGTCGGTAATATATAATTATAACTATATATAACTACATATATAGTTAGACAATTATTTTCCAGTATTTATGTTAAGATATTTCAAATAGCATATTCAAATAGTATTAATCTATTCATTATTCTTCTGAGAATAGTAAAGAATATATAATTACAAAAATGCTTTAATGATTAATTTGTTTATTATAGTATCTTGCATTATCATTTATAGTGTTGGAAACAATTTAAATATTTAATCTAAGTGGTGTAATTTAGGCGATTAATGGTGAATGCTTTGCCAACAAAACATGGTATGGTTTTTACAATCATAAAAATGATTGTTTATTGCAAGCAACAATGTTACAAGTACATGAAACAAATTAGTGTACCACACCTTCATAGTAACAGAGACCATGTGTTTTCTTGTATCACTGTTTGGTTACTTATTTTATGTCAAATGTTTTGGTAATAATCTTCAGCTTTATACTAAAATTAAGATTAAAATAAGATTTAAATAAGATTCCTTTCAGATATTAGGATGGCAGTTTTTGTTTTGTTTCTTTTGCATGTGGTATAATCTGATTTAAGAAATTTTCAAAGTATGTCTTAACAGCGAGTAAATGTATATGAGGTAGTTATGAACTTCAGGAAGCTGCTTTTTTTTTTAAATAAAATATCCAGAAAATATGGTAAATCATTTCAATTTCAAGTTTAGTTTGATAATATCTATTCTTTAACACTTCGTAGCACTTGCAGAAAGCAATGGAAATCATAGGTAATTGTGTTTTGTCCTCAGTTATTGTGGGAAAAATATACTAACATGTCATAAGCAAAGTGAGGTGTAACAGATTTTTAATGTAACAGATTTATTGGAAGTTGAACAGTCACAAACGCAGACCAACTCACAAACAAGATGAAAAAGTTTTTACAAAAGAATAATTAGGCCAACTATTAAAAAAAACAGTAATGCATAAAAGGAATGTAGGAATGTTTGTACATATAAAAGTTTTCAGTAAAATTTGCCATGTTAACAGATTTTTTTAAGTACAGTTATGTCAAAATGTATGAAAAACAATCTATAATGTTTGAAATTCATGCATGGTTTTTAAAAAGCAGTCCTCAACATATTAATAAATAGAGGAGAGGATTTGCTATAGTATCTACTAAAAAACATGCAATTACACATAATAATGACCCAGCCCTTCTTCCCTAAGAAGTGTAGTCCCTAAAGGTATATTCTTTCATCAGTCCAAAACAACATAATATTGAAGTCCTAACCTGAGTAATAAGCAAGAAAAAGAGACAATATATAAACAGATTGGAAAGAAAGGAATTTGGGGCATTTACCAAAAAATAAAAATAAAAACCTAGATATAAAGAGTGAGTTCATCAAAGTAGGAGGATACAAGATTGCTATGAAATTAAACAGACATTAAACATATGCCCCAAATTCTACTCTTCAGCATTTTTCCAAGGAAAAATTAAAATTACCTTCTGGGTGGAATTGTTTATCCAAAAAGCCCTGTTGAGGCTTGAACATGCCTTACTTCAGTTGTGACCTTATTAAGAAGCACAAACATAGTGGAATTTGAGCGAGGGCCACTGGAGTGAGGAACAGCTTCTGCCCTGGGCCAGGGTCCTTGAAAAAAGAAAACAGTGAGACTCTCCTGGAGAACACAGACAGATGCAATGGAAGCGCTTTGGAGTGATGCTTCTAACCACATTGCAGGGGCTACTGGTTATCTGTGTTTTCAAAAGTAAAAAGGAGTGAGTAATACATTGAAAGGGCCCAGCAATGGTGCTACCATTCCTGATGTCCAAGGCTGTTACTATTTAGGCAGTGTATACAGAAAAGTATTTGGTGCATTTCACAATGACCCATTAACTACCCAGAATAAATTCATGGGTTGAAACTGATATGACTGAGACAGGTCATTGTTTTTTTAATGTAACACATTTGTTGGAAGTTCAACAGTCACAACATGAAAACATTTATAATTAAAATAATAATAAACTAGGATATCATGTGAGGGTGTGGCTACCAGAGTTCAGTATCACTCAAACTGTCCTTCAAAGTTGAAAATAAAAGGTGTGTTTATTTATGATGTACATCACAATATAATTTCATAGTGAAGTTGTTCTTCTGACAAGCTAATTAACATATCTTTTCACACAGTTACCATTGTGCCACACTTTTAGCAAATTGCTCATATAAGTGCATGACAATGGCAGTTGTTGTAGATGTGTTTCATTAATGGATATTAAATTATCAAGATATATCTCTGAGTACTTTGTTAATTACAGAAGGACGACCTTAATCAAGTGACCAAATTCTTCAGGCATTAGCAGCCTACAATGAACATCAGTACCAGTTGATATGATGCCCAAAGAGGGCACATGTTTCATTGTCATTCTTGCCATACTAAGTAACAGTTTTCTCATGAGAAAGAATCAGACACTCCGAAGCGGATGGGCATTCTATGAAAATGAACAGTGTTCTTCTAAAGAGTCTAGGACAGGGGAGCAAGGAGACTGAGAACTGCAGAGACGGGGAAACGGCATGCCATGTGCATGTCTCATTAGGCGATTTCGTAAAATACAAAAGGAACTTTAGTTGAAAACTGGTGAGCTCCAAGTGTAATAAGTGGCTTTATTTTGGAGATCTAATATACAGTACAGTGTAACTTTTAGATGTTGTCTCACAACATCTAAAACGTATTTCTGGGAAGCAATAGATGTGCTAATTCATTTGACTATGATGTTTTCACAATATATAAAAATATTAGACCATCATTTTGACTATCTTAAAAGTTCATGGTGTCCAATAATACACACACACTCACACACACACACACATATAATATTCACCAACCATAGATCCATAACCATAAACCTGGAAAATACATAAATGCAAAAATCCCAAATATAATCTGTTTAGTGTGTGCATTATAGCAATTGATTTCTCAGTGTTTATACAGTAATAATACATGGCTTAATATTAGATGGTAACACCAGGAGAAGCTGGTGAAGACCATATGGAAACTCTCTGCACGATTTTTACAACATCTCTGTAAGTCTAAAATTATTTCAAAACATGTTTTTAACTGGGAAAATTACCAGTGGTAAATGCAGTTAAGGTAGATGAGATGGATAGCAAAATAACAGTTCTGTATTTATTTTCTGATGTTGATCTCCTATTTTTAAAAAAATAAAGGTAAAGGCAAAATATATCTTAGTGTTGGAATATAAATATTTTAATTAGCTTACCATTTTGAAATGAATATATGTATAATTCAGAATGGGAAACATTAAATGGTCAGAGCTATCTGCGTGATCAGAATCAGTGGTTCTAGAAAAGGCCAAAGGAAATAATACATGTTTCACAATATTGTTACGATCACATGAAGGTGTCAAGGTGTCTAGCATTTCTGCTTTGCCTGGAGTCCTGTGTCAGTTTTGCTTTATTTTATACTTTTCCATAGGGCCTGGATTTTAATTGTAACCTAGACTTTGCTTCCTAATTTTAGTGGATGCTTCATATTATTAGAAACTATGATTTCTTGTCTTACTTTTGACTGGTGTTAGTTGGGGTGATGTGTTACAGAACCAGAGTAGATTCTAATTTTTTTATACAAAATTAACTGTTAATATCCAAAATCTCATTTTGTCAGTAAATGCCTTAAGAAATATGATTATTTGTCTTTATATAAGTGAATTGATTACAAAGATATCTTAAAAGCAGTTTTAAATAGTTAAAACTGAACTCCTCTAAAGCTTAATTTTCTGTAATTTCTATTTTAATTCTTCTCTGAATGCCAAGCTCCAAATTAGTGTGATATTTTTAGAGACCTGTCAATTGAAGATTAAAATATTCTCATCTTTTGCCACATAATTATGGCAAACCTCATTGATGTCTCATCAAAGTCTTTGGGAATGTATGTGCAATGAGAAGTTATCACTGATCCCTAGCTATTACTCTTCTTTAATTTTTATTATTAATCATTTGCAAGCAGATAAGACATGCTGAGTACTTCAAAGACTTCTTTCATTGTGGAATTTGAGATCGTTTTCTAGACTTCTGCCTGACAGAATTTTATTACCTGGTTTCTTCTTTCCATGTGTGACCCAATAACACCTTAGATCTATCATCTTTTATATAGAGACTTTAGTTCTTATTAAATATTATCAAACTTTTTTTTTCCTTTAAACAAACAAAAACAAGCAGTGCTCTTATGTTACCTATAAAATATCTGTCCTTTAATGCACAGACTTATCAAGCAATGGTTTGGGGGGAAAAAAAAAAGTTCTAGCTATGTAGGCCAAGGAGTTATTAGTAAACTTTGAAGTGGGGAGACATTCACAAGCATCCCTTTTTACTCCTACTTATTTGGGCACTGTTTCATTTTACACATGGCATTTTGCCACTTCCTTTTTCAATTAATTAATTAATATATATTTTACATCATTGCTCATTTTGTGCAATGCTTGCTTTCTCCCGCTAGTGTAGTCCAATAACATCCCCCCACACACATCGCACCATCACCGCAGTCCCTTGCGCCTGTCCCTCTCCTGTTTTGACCCCTCTCCTTCCCCAAGCCCTGCACAATGGCTCTGATTTATAGTTGGCTGTTGGTTTTTTAAAATTTATTATTATCATTTATTTTGGCATTTCTTTTTAACCTAGTCATTCACCTGTTAAATGTCTCTCTCAGGAATGAGAATGAGTGATATGTGTTTAGATTTATCATACATCGATTAAATCTATGTCACCTTAGTGTTTATTTTCCAGTCTCCATCAGGGTGAGTCTTGAATATATGAATGTACCTTACTAAAAGTTATGCAACGATGCATTGATTATGCGGCACATAGATTTATTGACTTGTCATTGCTTAAGAAGAAGCTTGTGATATCACTGCTACACAGAGAAAATTATGACAACAGGAGGTATTTCCCTCTTGGTGCAGGTATTCTATCCCCAGAAGCAAGGTGTTCAGAATTGATGACAATGGCACCATCATCACAACTAACTCTCTTGATCGGGAGATTAGTGCTTGGCACAACCTAAGTGTTTCAGCCACAGAAAAATGTAAGTAATCACTTCAGTACCACATATGGTTTTGCCATATTTTCACAATAACGATATCCAGTGCAAAAAGTATACATCATGAAGAGAAGTAACAATTTGTATTATAAAATAAGTTAGGAGGGCAAAGTATACACATGGGGTTCTTAGGCAACAACATGATACTGCAAATTTAAAAAATCGTCAAGACGTGTGAGTCTTATTGGGTGATTATTTCATGCTATATATAAATGTCAGATCAGGGTGGAAACCTAATGTAATGGTGTACGTGATTTACATTTCAATTGAAAATAGAAATAAATAATGTAAAGTCATTTAGGAAAAAATATGAAACTGTTCATTTCACGTGAAGTCGTATATGCTTTTACAATACCTTATTGAATATATTTCTTACCAAATTTCCTCTAGCTGGTATTATTATAATTATCTATATATTTTCCAGTGGGTTCCTTTGAGGTTTAGAGTTTATTGGAAAAAGAAGGTCTTTTGAAAAACATATCTACTCTTAAAAAATAGTTATGGATGGAAATAAGTCATACATAAAACTTATTTCATGGGGATTATTCCCTTAGAACAAAAATTTTAATTTAGAGTAATATTTAGTTAATATCATGCTTTATTAAACTACTATTCAAATAGTAAAGCCAGAGAATGGAAATAAAAATTTTAAGTTTAAAATATTTAAAAATTGACCAATAATCAGGTTAAGTCTAATTGATAGACTGTGAGCTTATGAGGATGCTACTCCAGACTTCAAAAGTATAATTCCTGTATCTTAGGTCACTTCTAAGATGATATTAGAGATGATTTTAGAGAGTAGGGTCAAAATGATGCTCCAGTATATACTTTTAAATTACAAGCACATAGAAGTATTAAGATTCAAGTGAAATAAATGCGAGGAATATGAAAACTTTAAACTATTGGTTGTCTGTGCATCAAAAAAATGTTAATACATATTCAAATTAAATTCACAGTGTCATCTAGGCTGACAATTAAATCAATAATCAATAAAACCAGTTTTTATTGGTCTGAGCAGATGATCTCAGATTTTTCAAGTTGTAAAATCATCAGGATAATGTCTTCAAATTTACCATTCAGTTATTACATGATGCTATTGATTCAGACTGATTGGAAGAGATATAACAAAACGTAGAAAGTTAACAAAATTCTTACTAGTTGCAAGATTTAGTGTCATACAGCAGAGACCTAAATTTAAAATTTTAATCTAAGATGTTTGAAAGCACGTTCTTTCATATAACTAATTGTATATAGAATTATAATAATCTTGTTTTCTTGCTTTATTTTTTGAAAGTATTAAAACAGATCTCTTAGTCCTCACATTATGGAGCAGTTGGCTGGTGATATGTGTGTTTGGGGGTAGGGGGTGGGGATGGCTCTTCCAGATGCTTTTGTCCTGGATTGAATAGCTCTATGGAAACGCTACAGGAGGACTGGATCTAGGTTTTGCATTTTCCATTTAACTAAACAATAGAGGATGGGGGAGCAGATGTTACAAGGGAATAATGTTGCTGGCTATTGCAGTAGAAAAAAAAATCAAGGCTTTTGGTGTCAGAAAACACAAAGATGTTTATTCGAAAAGCAAGAAGCTTTTATTCATTGGGGAATTCTGAGAACAAATTATTTATAATGTCAGTATTTACAAAACTATTGAGTAAAGGAATTTAACTCAGCTCAAGGGAAAACTGGACAGCTTTAAAAAATGTGCTTCCTGTAAAATAGTTTGAACTATTAAAAGAGCATGCTACATAAAGAATGTAAATGATTATTCACAATGAACTTGTTTAAGTATAAGGTTGTGTTTCTGTAAGAGTGTATCAATTACTTTTGTTAAATTGGAAGTAGGACAATGTGTCTTATAACAATATCTTTAAAACTTATTATGTGTATTCCTAGACAGTCTTACATTTCTGAATGATTAGAAAAAATATAAATAAGTGATTGATATGGAAAGTTTTCCGGATAACTTAAACTTAATTTGACTCATTAATTCATCAGGGAGATATTCTGAAGATCGCTAGAGAAAATGAAGTGTTTTGATTGCCTTTTTATTCAAAACAGTGAAAGAAAATTGTGTCACAATGTGGATCAAAAATAGTCATACAAATATTTGGGTTGCAGGATAGTTGCTGTTCAGAAGTTAATCACTATGACAGGAATAGGTGTTTAGAGATGTTGTCAAGTAGAGAAATTAAGCAATTCATGAAGTCCTGTTCTTGATTCTCTATAAATATTTTTTTAAGAAAAATAATTTTGTGTGGAGATCTGATATTCCCATTATCATAGCCAGGTAGGCAGTTGCAGAAACCCACAAAGTTAGTGGGTTGAGTTGAACTAGTCTTTAAAGATGTCATTTTGAAAATACTTGTTTCATTTGAAGGGAAAGCTGGTTCGAACAAGTTTCTATAACACTGAGTAACCAAGGATCTTGCATTTCTTTTCTCTGCCTTGAATATTTTTTGGAAGCAAAACTCATTGTAGTACAATTTTGTAAGAGTAGTTGTTAGGGTCCAATATTTTTACTATCATGACAATGTGAAACCGATTGTTTGATCAATGAATTGTGCCATGAACCAGCCACCCAAACCATGGAAAACAGCACCACATAAAATTGTTGCAAACATACTTGTCTCATGGAAGCACCTTGAAGACTGTTGGTTGCCTAATAGTTTTGCTGATTGTTTTACCAGCAAATGAAGCTTATAATACTTAAGTCTTTCCTTGGAAAGCTTCCCAAACTAAGCACCAAACAATTTATCAGCATGCCAGCTATGTGAAGAAAAATACTAACCACTTTAAAATGAGTCTCTGAAGATATGTGTTTGTTTTGAATAGTCTTGCCAAAGGCTTAATTGGAGCTTAATATTAGACAGATTTTTCAGAAAAAATCATAAAAAACTTTAATGACTTTCTCACTAATTTATTTGTACCTGGAATGACTTCTCCATTTTACTTACTTAAGCAAAATATTGTTCTATGGTGAAAAATATGATGTGCATAAATTATTCTAATAATTAAATTGTAAAATATTTAGAAACATATTTTCATATTGTTTAATCTGTTTCACCCTGAATGTAACAAAATAGAAGAAAATCTCAAAATGATCATTTCTAATGGCATTGTTGAAAGGTCATGCATTTTTTTTAGGTAATAAGCATTATGCATTTTAATATTTAATTAATTGAAATTTGCCATTTGTTCAGGAAATGTGATTACATAGAAAACCTCATTGCAAGTCAAAAAATCCCCAACATGGTGGAATAATTAAAAAGCAGAACCAGAATATATGCTTCACAGGAAATCCACTAAGAAATTGCCAAGATAGTAATTGCCACCATTTTTAGACAATGTTGGGTGGAGAAGAAATTTTGCTAGGTTCTTCTTGGAGTACATTAGACAGGTTACTGGGATTAAAAAAAAAAAAGAAAAAAAACTGTATTTAGACAGGCAGATTCCAAAGTCAAAAGGCAAATTAGTGGTACATATTTTGAGTTAAGAAATATAAGAGATGCCTGGGGCATAGGGAGAAAGAGAAGAGGTTGACTCACAAAGAAGACCAGATGCTCTGTAATTGCATGTTTGACAGTGATGCTGAATAAGTCAATTTTCCCATTCATTTAGTTAGTTAACAGAGAGGTAAATTCTCCCGTAAGCCTGCAGAATGTCGATCGACCTCACTTGAAATAATAGACTTGCTAAAGTGCCATGTCTTGGAAAAGGCCATTTTGAATGTTTTGGTGAGGCTCCTCTGAGCATCTTGGGGAGGTCTAGCCTTTAGTGGTCACGAAGATTCAGGTCTGTATGAGCGTGTTCTCAAGAGAAGCAATCACTACCCTTTAAGTAGGAAGACACCATCTGTCATAGTTCATTCTACATTCACTAGGTAGTTGGGGTGACCGTTGTGTTTGTTAATTGGTATTACCCAAAGGAAAACTAAAATTTCCTTACTTTTATGACAAGTGGTAAGTATGCAGCTTGGGACATGGCCTTCGATGAAACGAGGTCCCTCAGATGTACTCCTACAGCTCCCGGATTTTAAAAAGGTGTCCACGTGCCTATCTTTTCTACATGCTCCTTCATCAGTTTCTGCAGGTGAAAGACACACATAAGTATTAGTTGAATTGAGAGAAGTAAAAACATTATTTCTAGGTTTTATTGTTTTTTTTTTTTTTTTTCTCAGATAGCTTTAATTCAAGGAGATTAAAAGTGTGCCACAGAGCCTCTGGTGGTATTCTCCCAAGCCTGTCCCAGCACAGCACTAATGCTCTGTGTTTTCATTCCCTCATTCAACTTGCAGACAACACTCAGCAGATATCTCAAGTCCCTGTGTATGTGCAAGTTCTTAATATTAATGATCATGCTCCTGAATTCTCTGAATACTATAGGACTTTTGTTTGTGAAAATGCGAACCCTGGTCAGGTAAGAACCTGCATAAATTGTTGATATCTGAACTATGCCACAGAACAATTTTTGCTATATATTCCTCCTCCTTTAAAATTACAAAACTAAGATTTATTTAGCTCTATTAATTATTTGTTCTTACATTGTGAGCCTGTGTATTTTAGATTCTTTTTTTTTTACAGCAAATATCTAAAATTCAAGTTGTGCACATCCAAATTTCTCCAATGTTTAAAAATATCTGCTAAAATTAGGGATTTAACAGTAAATATTTATTTCGTCAATAGAATAAAATGTTATATTTTGTCATTCTATGGAAGAAGTCATCACATTTAAATTATTTTTTATTTTAATTCATTATGATGGCAAAGATAAAGTAATATGTAAGTATAAACATCCTAAGAACAACACTTGGACTTTCCCTATAACTTAATAGTCACTGTGTCTGACGTAGCAAAACAAATGAATCTCAATTTCAAATAAATGTCACTACCATTTAAAAACTCTCTGTACCGTGACCCTGTGAAAATGATCTGGTCTATTGAGAATGTGTCTTCTATAACAAAAGAGGCGTGAGCATTTTTAAAATATTAATGTAGAGAAAACTTACTGATTAATTACATATAGATATAGGGGTATAACAGAATGAGTTTATAAACAAATACTGTAAAATATAAATTAAGTAGATGCTTTTATTTGATTAAAAAATAACAACCAAAATAAAGGGTAAAGGGAATTTGAGGGTGCTGAGTATTTAGTAATGCACCTTCAACACATTGAAAAAGAAAAACAATCTTAAGAATTGGCACCTAGATTATTCGTCACCTTCACCTCTTAAATGAATCTTAAAGTAACAGAACATAAAGCAATTAGATGTTGCATAATCACTAGATTGGCACATAGAAGTAACAATTTCCCCTTCTACCTTTATATGGACATCAAGATTATAAGATTTGTAAAACTTATATTGACAAATACTAGTGCAAAATGCTTTGTGAACATTATAAAGTTCATGATGTCAGTCTATGTGAGACCTTACAAGCTTGTTCTGTGTGAGTCTCACTGATGCATTTTTTAATGCTAACTATGAAAAATGGGGAGGGCAGAAATAAAGCCTTTTAAAGAAATTCAAAATTTTTTCAAAGCACTTCCATGAAGCTGCATATATATTAAAACAATCTTTTATTTTATACAGTATTTTCCTAGTTATCTAAAATACCATTTTGCTTGTTTCTAAAATAAAAGAACAACAAAAAAAAAAGCGGTGATGTGTTATGAGATATCTGTTTTGGAATATTTATTAACTATCCTATGGTATCAGAAAATAAAAGAATAAACTATTTTCTTTCCAGATAATGTTCATCCTTGACCACTAAGTGACCAGAATTTAAAAAATAAAGACATTATTGACCCAGGCTTCTTTAGAGAGAGGGAGAGAGCTTTCCAATGACAACTGTGTATATCTGTTTAAATTTAATGGACATGCCTCTTTTGTCATTTGAGAAAGAAATGAGAATTGCAAACTAATTCTATTCCTTCTATGCACTCTAGCGTTTTCCTTTGTTGTCGTCTGTTCAGTCCCATGTTTTTGAGAGACAAGTGGCCCTCCGTGAGGGTTGAATTGAATATTTGCTCTGCAGTGTTCTTCTAGGTACCTGTAGGCAGATTGGTATTCCTTATCCTTAGCTGAACATTGTGTGTTTCAGAAACCATGGTTTAAATTCAAATATGTTTCCTCTCATGTGGGAATGAAACATCAAACAACAGTAAACAATGATAGGCTGCCTAGTGCATAGCAAGCAGACTTCCTGCCAGTCATCCTCACATCCCACGTCAGATAGTAACCCAACCATGCCGGACACTGACCCCTCCTCAGGGAAAGGAAAAGAGCGACTCTTCTGTCCCACATTCCTGCCTTACAAGGATTTAGTAAAAACAAAGTCGTTTAGGAAAGATAAAGAACGATTGAATGAAACATCAGTGGGATTGAATGTGGTCGATGTTAACAGTAGCAGTGAGGAGTAATGCATGAACGCGAGTTCTTAAAATGGGGCTTATTCCAGTCAAGAGATTTTGCATGAGCTCTAAGATGTCTGCTCATTTGACATCGGTAGATACAGCCCCGTCAAGGTGAATTGAAGCTGAAGGTGGCAGCGGGTTATCAGCTTCCACTGGATGCTTGGAGGAACCTCCTGGTTATAAAATAAGGATAAAAAATTACAAATGCCAATATAAGCATATTATTGAAGACACTTTGTGGTTTTATTGAAGTTTTGATTTTCTCAGATATTTTTATGTATTCGGATCTGTTTGAAACAGATTATGTTGTTTCCTAAATCTCTGCAGTAATAATTCAGTAACTTGGATTTACCATTTTCCCTCTAAGTTAATTTCATATTTTATTTACTGACCAGTCTATTTTATTTCACAAATACTTTCTGCAAGATGATAAACTATCTGAATATGCAAATCAAAACAAAGTGAAGTAGGAGTAAAATTTAAATCTATATTTTATGATAGCATCTTCTCTGTTATAGTAGATTTGAGGAAAGACATATAGGTATATGTCTATGTAGACATATAGATATACTCAAATGTTCCTCTCTTTTAAGTTTTTCTGGAGCAACTGGATAGTCATAGGGAGAAAAAAGGAAAATTCCACTTAAACCTTACACACCTAATAAAAAATATATTTTAAAATATCAGAGATTTAGTTCTAAACATAGAACTACAACATTTAGAAGTAAAATCAGTTGTAAAACTACCAAACTTTTAGAAATAAAATGAAAAATTTCTCCTATGCGACTCACTTAGCAAAGAAAACATTCCTCGATGAATCATCAAAAGCTCAATTCATATGAGGAAAAACAAGCATATTAATTTTATTCCATTGAAATTAGAAACAGAAAATAGCCATTAAAAGATTTTTTAGAATAATTTATAGACTGTCAAAAAAATGTTTGAAAACCAAAAATTACATAAGGATTTATGTCTAGAATAAAAGGAGAACCTTTAAAATTCAGTGGTAAAGAGGAAGTAACCCAATTCTAATGTCAGCAAAGACATTTCACTGAAAGATTATAGCAAAGAGACACCTGAAATGATGCTCAGCATCATCATTTATTTGGAAAACGCAAATTAAAACCACATTTTGATATCATTTCATACCTACTAGAGTGGCTTAAATAATAAAAATCAGTGATGACACCAAATGGTTGAAAAAAAAAATCTTTCAGACTTTGCTGGTGGAAATATAAATGAATAGTAAGTAAATAGTTGTTTACTATGAAATTATGCATGCATTTATTGTACCACCTAATGCATTTGGACAGTGTGGTAAACTGTTATGCCAGAGAAATAAATACTTCAGCTCACACACAAAAAAAAATGCACACAGAAGTTCATAGCAACTTTATTTTTGATAGGTAAAATCTGAACATAACCCAGTGTCAGTCAATGGCTGAATGATTAGGCAACTGAGATACTTTCATAAAACAAAATACTGTCAGCCATAAAAAGGCACAAACTATTGACACACGCACAGCATGATGGTGCTCACAGGCATTATGCTTAGTACAAACAGCAATTCTCACCACCTTACATGCTATGCTCTGCGATTCCAATTACAGTACATCCTCCAAACGACAAAACTGTGGGAGATGCAGACCAGATTAATGGTTGCCAGGGGACAAAGGAAAGCATGGCGCAGGCGAGTGTCTCTAAAGGGCCAGGTAGTAAAGCAGCTGATGAGTAGTGATGTCGATGCTTATTTGTCAAGGTGTTTGCTAAATTTCCAACCTGATCAAGATTATTGTTAATGAATAACATTGATATTTTTGTTTTGAATAACATTGTTTAAAATTGTTTAACTCTGCTGTCAGACATTTACATTAACATGTGCAGGAACTTGATGTAACTGGAAGAAATGTATTTTCCCGTGTCCAGCATGGACGCAGCACTGGGCAGTGGTTAAGCAACTGAGAGCCAAGTGTGTTGTGAAGACCCTGATTCAGCCTGCTGCCTGCTGTGTGATCTTAGGGTCCTAACCCCAGTCAGTCTCAGTTTACCTACTTATACTTATCCACTTCATGGCCTTGCTGTAAATATTAGGAAAGCAATGCTAATGAACTATTTTTTCACATAGTGGGTGAAAGTACTTCAGACAATTTAGTGGAATGCATCCAACACATATTGTTTTCTTGTCATTTTCTCTCTCCTGCTTCTCAGAATATAACAGATAGACTTTTTGAGGGGGGACTCAGGAGATGTGCCTTGGGGTAAATATTTTTCACAAGAGCACTGCACAAATTCTTTTACTTCTCATCTGATTCATGCATTAGTTTGTCTTCAGGGAAAGTGACAGGTATGGATCCATAGAAAACTAAGGTAATGCGATATTGAGCACGGCCAACTTTACTCAGGTAGTTCAACAGTCATTTCTCTTTGTTTCTTGTATCTGTTGTGTGTGAAACAAACCCCATGACAGCTAGTGAGATTCAGAGTTTCCACTTCTTGCCAAATATTCAAAACAAGTTACAGACACCACATTTAAGGAGAATCAAATTGATGGCATTATGCACATATGCACACACACGCAGGTGATGTAAAAACACAGGGAAAGGTGAGTATAATCTAGCCGTGATCCATACTTGTTAACACTCTTGGTATGGATATTAAACTGGAGTCAAGGATGACATAACCATTGAGTTAACTGAATAAAGTATCAACATAATTCTCTGCACTGTTTCTAGGTTTTCCAAGAACCTGAAAACATTTCAAAATACAAAGTTAAAAAACATCATCTGCTGGAATAAAAGAAAGTACAAAAGAAATGTCAGAAAAATAAGAAAGGCAGTTAAAAGGGAATGTGTACTATTGAGAATTTTAGATCAAGTGACCTGCAAAATAAAAAAATAAAAAAGTTTGAGTTACAGCTAATCCCTATGCTGTAGTAAACTTGCCCAAAGGTTTCAAGTGAGATGGGACTCCAGATTAATTAAAATAGTTTAACAATAAAAAAAATAGCAAAATTAAATGCCTACACAAATAAACAACAACAACAACAACAAAAAACTAGTTATGGGTATAAACATCATATGTGAATTATTATTAAAAACAATGAAGGCATTTGAAAGTGGCAGCCTGAGAATATATTGTTTGTAGAAGGGTAATAAAACAAAATTTTGACAACTATTAAATATTCCCCATTAAATCAGTGTGTCAAGGATACACATTGAATTTTAACTGGATGCTATGAAACAAAATTGAATTTAAATTCTGGGTTACAAATAAGACAAGTCAGAACGCACACACTAAATATAAGACTAAAACAATGATATAACTCACACTGAACACAATGCTCAAACTCAATGCTACAACACATCTTTCAAAAGCAATGAGAATGAAATCCCCACTTTCAAACACTCATGTTAATATGTTCAGAAGCTAAGATCTGTACAAAAATCAAACAAGTCATTGAAAAGAAGGAAATATAGTTGAAAAGAATAAGATTATCTAGTACAGTGATTCCATGCAAATAAATAATTTCTAGAAGCCACATTTAACATGTAACATTAAAAACGGCAGGTCACTGTTCAAGTGGTAGAAAGTTGTCATTAGGATGATTAAGTTCTAAAGGTCTTCGGTCCACATTGGGCTCACAGCTAGTAATACTGGATTGTGTATTGAAAATTTGTCCATTGGGCATAGTGCATGTTAAAGGTTCATAACACAATCTAACAAGAATTCTTTAGATATAAATAAAAAAGGTGACATTAATTTTAATGTTTGACACAATATAGAAAATATTATTTTCACAAAAATTCAGTAATTAGGGATATATATATATATATATATATATATATATATTTACCTCATTTCCTACAGCCTCAAAAGAAACAGACAAATGAAAAATCATTACACCCATTATAGAAAACCAAAACACCACAGTATTTGTTATGTATTCTGGAGGAGTCTAGACATCGTCTTAAAGACCTACATGCACAAACAGAATTTTTGTTTTTGTTTTTAATGTTTAAATGTCCAAGGTGGGGAGAAGGTAGAAAGAAAATTTTCAGTGGTTTGCAAAGATAATAAATGAGCTAACATTTGGGCAATTTTCCTTTACTTTTGGTGAAAATAGTTATCATTTTTCAAATTAATGATTCCCCTTACCTTGACTGATACCAAATAGCTTTCCCAGAAGTAAAATATTAGTGATATTATAATAATATAGTATATAATATAATACATAATATAAGTGATATTATAAAGTACCAGCTTATATTATATTGATATCCATCAACTACAAAGATGTCTCCATGCAAAAATATTCTCTTGCCTAACTTCTAAACTCCCACGTTGTGATCCTGGTTTTCTTCTCCACTCCCTTTCTCTCTTGTGTCCTGTCCTTTTATTTTATTTTATTTTCAAATTCACTCTTTCATACACTTCTATCAAACATTATATTCAAAGGATTACCAGATCTTTCCTTACACCAACTCTTTCTTCTATATTGCAAGTTATACATCCACACAAACTAGAAAAAAAATGTCTACTATGCATCCTGTGGTTACACCAAATTTATTTTCATTTTTCCCTATTCCTAGAAAAATTACTGTACTAAGTTACCCACAAAAGGACATGTGTACACCTTTCTCTGTCTCTCTATTTTTTTAAGATGACTTAAGATTTATTTATTTATGCATACAGGAGTTGAGGTGCAGGCCAGAGGTATGGGTGATGAGAGGATTCACCAGAGACAGAGCGGGGAGCAGAACAGACAGATCCACGAAATACACTGTGGAGGGGAGCAGCATAAATAAATACTTTTATTAAAAGGACTATGGACAGGAAAACACATGTAATGAGTCAAAAGGAAAAGTGACAATATTATTTTATCCAGAGAAATAATTAAACATCTGAACTCTCAGAATTTTTGATAACATGACCATTCTTTATATTCATTTTGCTTTTGGTTTGTTTTTGCTCCTCAGAAATGTTTAACGTCTGTTATAGACCCAGATAAGTAGATTAAAGTAAATCATTCAAGACAAAAAATAAAGATTTTTCTTAGAATTTTATCTGGAAAAAATAGGGAGCAGAGTGTTGAAACTTGTACATCTGCAGTTCACCTGTGCATAGTTAGAGGACTAACTGTGATTAATTAAAATATTTGGAAAGATACATAGTCAAAGGCAAAATCCCTTCAGCGTGCTTGAGCCTCCCTGCATGAACAGGAGGTATTTCAGCAGCACAGGCTTCTGTGTCAAACAGAAAATCAGGTGTGAGATACATTGCTCCTGGTCTAGAAATTAGGATTGCATATGCTGACAAAGTAAATAGGAATTTTTACATCTAAACTGAACAAACACATGTAGAACGAGATTGTCCACAGTATGCAGGGAATCATCCCACGTACATCCCCACAGACAGTGTTTCTGTGAAGACAGTTCCTAATAGACATGCACGGTTGTACAGCAAGCACTTGGACAAACTAAGATGTGCAGTCCTAAAAATGGATACTCAACGTTATGAGATCTCCATTTTCTCGACAAAAAACAAGAATGTTGCCAAGCCAGGGTTTAGAACATGGCCCCAGCCTAGGCTTAAACCTGGCAAAACGCAATCACAGGATAACCCCAAATCAAAGCCTTGCCCTAATACAATGCATGCTTGTTATTTAGCCATAGATTGAATGGTGATATTTTATTTGGTTATTTAATTAGCACCACATGATTATGATTCAATTAGGAATGTGTGATGAGGGAAAAAATGATGCAGAGAAATAATGTGCAAATCACATTAGTTTCACAGGCTCCTTATGCACCTGGAGAAATGTAGGCTTTGAAGTATAACTATAAATTTGGGTCTCTCATCTTGAAACTAAGGATATTTTTGTTTGACACATTGTTAAAAGCACTTTAATTCCACAAAATTCAAAACAATAACTTCTATAATCAATTTACTTTAATTTCCAGAATTAATCACAATCTCACTGTGTGTTCTTGACAGCGTCTCTCTTTTTTGACAAGAAGGAACTACTTGACTGACACATTCATGTCTTGAAAGAAGAGAATTAATTGAGAACTGATTTGTTCATAACTGCATTGCTTCACATTTTTTATGATCTGAAATAGGAAGTTATTTGATGTGAAACGCTCTTCCTATAATCCGTATGGATCAGAGGAAATCACATGTATATTGCCCCTAAACTTTAAATGCATTATTTCCTCAAATCAATTAAAAAACTCATTACTTTAGCAAATACTTTAGTAAGCTTCTAATTCTACTACAGTTGTGCTCTCAATATATGCAGGAAATCACAGTGGCTGGAATCCAGATAAGAAAGAAATAAGGAGGGGTGAAATCTAGGCAGATGCATAAAAGATATCTTAATTCAAAACAATGGACTTTGAAAACTAGGAACAAATATAGCTATGGAAGCCATCTGATCTTTCAGAAGGAATTTATTTTGTAATTTCAACATACTTGCTTTGAAACAAGTCAGTAAACATGAGAAGATATTGTAATATTCACAAATTTTTAACAGTTATCTTTTGTAATGCCAATGAAGATTTTGGTAAACCAATTCTAATAAATGCTAATGATAAAAATAACAGTGACATATTTCCTGAATAAAAGGCAACTATCATTGTTTTATAGGTAATTCAGACTATCAGTGCAGTGGATAAGGACGCATCCACAGAAGAACACCATTTTTACTTTAATCTGTCAACAGAAGACACAAATAACTCAAGCTTCATAATCATAGATAATCAAGGTAATGTCCTCACCTAGTGGGTTTTGGACACTCTTTGAGACTCCTGTCTGATTTTCAGAGACCTGGTGTTGTTTCCTATATTGCTCCTGCTCCATGACAATGCTGAGGACAGGGAGGGGTGGCAGTGAACATGGAAACTCATCCCAAGGTTAAGTGCTAAAAGTGCTGGCCCCGTGACTCACTGAAATTCTTTCAATTAGAAACACCTTTTTAAATCCTCACTTCTCAGCCATGTAAAGTTCTGAATGACCCTGAGTCTATAATGACAGAGCTGCACGATGGTTTCTTTCATAGTCTCATGTAACTCATCTTCAATCTCTGTCTGGGGCAGACAACAATATATACTCAATTTATAGTCATGGTAGCTTGATTGACTCAAAGGAATGTGGAGTCATTAATTAGGAGTTACAAATATATAAAATTGGTTTAAGAGTCCTTTTTCCTTCCAAATGAAATGATTTCATCAAGTGGAAGACAGTGTTTTAAAGGATTTTGTTGGAAGAGAAAGAATTTTTTTTTCACCTTTTACAAAGAAGTGGATTATATGTTATGCACAGTCGTTATTTTTCCTTTGCTTTAGTGAAAAACTTTGGCCATATAAATTTCTATTTTAATGTTGGCATGATTTTAATTATATCTCAGAGATAGGATACAGCATTGTGTTTATTACCTAAATATCTCTGATCCAAAAGGTTACTTAGAATATTTGGGAATTCAGGTAAAACTAATCTAAAATAGATTGAAATAAATATTGTTCAGAATATTCTCATGTTCTGCTGGGTGAATCAGTACCACTAAAGTTGAATGATTTTCGGAATTTTAAGCAGAAAATGAGTTAATAAGATCAATGTGAAATGAAACATCTCAGTAGGATCTTCCCAACAAAAACCATTTTGTCTCAGCCGATACAGAATTCAAAATCACTTGCTGTGATAAGTAGATAACTTTGAAAATATTACATACTAACTTACAATTTTTGTGAAAGTAGTGTGCTCCTATTAGAAAAAATATATATATATACTATTGGAAGTAATTAACCCAAATGAAATTGATACTGTCATTATCATTTTAATGCTCCGACCCCTATAATTTATTGATCCCTGATTTAAAAGCATTTTGTATTCTACTCTGAGCTTTCCTGTTTTATCAAAAAACAGTTGGGTCATTTATATAACTATCGAGTTACACAGTTAGCCTACATGAAAGTCACGGATGACTTTTTGTGGCTCTTCTATCATTTTATAAGAATGTTTTCTCCCTATTCTTTGACCTCACTGATAGGATCATGCTGTCACCTCTAGTATGTAGGACTGGCGTGGATTTCTTTTATATTATTGAAAAACTATGCACATGGATTTTTGTTTTAGATAACACAGCTGTCATTTTGACTAATAGAACTGGTTTTCGCCTGCAAGAGGAGCCTATCTTGTACGTCCCCATCTTAATCGCCGACAATGGGATCCCCCCACTCACAAGCACAAACACACTCACGGTCTACGTCTGTGATTGTGACGCCAGCGGCGGTACACAGACCTGCAGTAAGGAGGAGCGGCGGCTGTCGCTGGCTTTCAGGACAGAGGTCATCCTCGCTGTTCTGATATGCGTTATGATCATATTCGGTGAGTAGTGCAGGGATGGACATTTTCATTGTGAAACTTTCGTTCAAAAAGGGTGATGAAAATCGAAAGTGCTGATTCCGTGATAGCTGTGTGGTGTGGGTTTGTGTGTTTATTTGCTTAACTGGTCTTCTGAATGGGTCACAATTCGAGACCCAAGTGGAATGAAATGGAAAGTAGAGTGGGTGTGCATTACAAGCTGAAAATCAAAGCCCTTTTCTATGTCGCATGAGTATGTGAGAATGTGTGCGCTCCTCGGCGTAGGAACGTTCTGATCCAGCCCTGCATAGTGCGACATAGATACATAAAGGCTGGTGATGATCATAGTGAGCTTCCGATGGAGGAGTGCTTCTGGCGGCCCAGGAATTATACAATTTGAATCTCATACTAACTGATGAAATAGCCATGCTTACCACCTGCATTTCTGGATGAAGAAAGTGAACCGAGACATACACGGGTCCTGTCGCTGGAAATGAGGTGCTGCGCTCCGTGACGTGGCACAGCCCTCTTCAGCCCTGTTCTGCACCAGAGCTCTCTAGCAAAAACTGTAACGTTCAGAAACTTAACTTAACCGCAGTGCTGCACACAACAGCCATCTTGGTCAAAGAGCTCCGTTTTTAGCTTGCTGCTGTTTTCTCAAGCAGATTTCAGTTGTGCTCACACTGCAATAAGAAAAATAACCCCCAAAATGTGGTATTCAGACCTGCGAGACTGGAAATGACTCCTGTAGCATGAGCTTTCCCTTCTCGAGGTGCCAGTCTGTGTCGTCTCCAGCTCGCCTGCTTCCCTTGCCATTTCCCATCAGGCAGCACAACTCAGTGAGTGTTGAGAGCAGCTGCAGCCGGTCTTGGAGCTTCAGATGTTCCGAGTTTTGCTCCCTTCCTGTTCAGTCATATGCCTCAGATGGGTTTTAAACACAGCGCCTCAATTCTAATATGATGACTTTATTGGATTTAAGAGCGCTGTTTCACTACGTTTAAATGTACGTTTTCTATAAAACAGTGTCTCATCTATTAATTCACATGATAACATTAAGAACATTGGCTGGTGTTTGTTTCAAATCCTATAGATGAAATTCTGAGTAGCTAGATAAGATTTGAGGTTGACTGAGTGTAATCTTAAATACATGCACACACATTTTCCTTCGGAATACAATGCTATGAAATTTCTGGTTCTATAAGTTATTAAAATCATTTAATTTAACAGAAATGACTTGTGTACATATCAATGTTATGATTCGATGCCCGGAGGTTTAGAATTTGCAAACTTAATGAGGTATTATAGGTCACAGGTTCAAAGATACCTTTCACTCTCGAGCTGTGTGATTCTGGGAAAGTCACCTAACATCTCTGTGCTTCCATTTCCCAATCTTCAAAGGAAATGATACTACCTGGGTATCATTGCAATTGAATTAGCGAGTGAAACCTTTCTAAAAATGCCTGGCACATACTTTGTGATCACTGAACACTATGTAGTCGGAAAATGTAGTCAGAAAATAATAATACCACATTTGCTTCAAAGGGGAATGTCAAAGTAGTCCGTTGCGTTTAAATTCTATTAACATCGCTCATTGGTTACTAAGATTGACAAACGCAGATTGGTTGGAACATGTCCCCTTATTCTACCATGTCTTATTTTCAATGTTAACAAATATAAAATTTTAGATTTCAACTTGATTATCCCCCCCCCAAAAAAAAAAACAAACAAACAGCTCATTACATGTTTGTGTCTTTTTTCCTCTCTAAAGCATCATCCTGAAAGACCGCTGTACTTAACGATGCTCTTCAAGCCCCCTGACGCTTTCAGGAGCAAATACAGCTTAATGTCTAATAAATTCTATTTCTTGAAGTTTGAGCAAAAACGAGAATCACTGACATTATAATGAATAATGTAAGCTATGCTTTATAGGCAACAGTCTACGCCACATGCCAATTAATATTCTGGTGTGCTTTCTTGGTCAGGGTTTGTGTTTTTGATCCTAGGGCTGAGACAAAGAAGGAAACAGACTCTGTTTCCTGAGAAAGGGGAAGACTTCCGGGAGAATATATTCCGGTACGACGACGAGGGCGGTGGCGAAGAGGACACGCAGGCCTTCGACCTGGCACAGCTGCGGAGGAGCGCGCGCGGGCGGGAGCGCCGGGCGCGGCAGGGCGCCTCGGCCGAGCTCCGGAGCCGGTACCGGCAGTCCCTGCAGGCGGGCCCCGACAGCGCGGTCTTCCGGGCGTTCATGCTGGAGAAGCTGCAGGAGGCCGACGGCGACCCCGGCGCCCCGCCGTTCGACTCCCTGCAGACCTACGCGTTCGAGGGGACTGGGTCCTTGGCCGCGTCCCTGAGCTCGCTCTGCTCTGCAGTCTCCGACCGGGACGAAAATTATGACTACCTGCATGAATTGGGGCCTCGCTTTCAAAGACTAGCGTACATGTTTGGTTCCGCCACGCAGTCAAATAATTAAGGGCTGCAGCTTCGTACGGTTGCAAAGCGCTCACAGGTGTTGGGGCCCTCCGGTGCGTTGGTGAGAGGTGTGATCCAGCTCTCTGGGGGGAAAAAATGATTTCTCGATGACTGGTATCGGCTAATTTCCTTTGAGAGATGCTGATGATCAAGGCTCAGGGGCTGATGGCTGCCAACTCTGGCACATCACGGAAATATCCCTCGGCCTTTCTCTTTCTTTTTTATTATTATTTTTTAATACCATTCTATACACATCTCCAAGAAAAAAAAATGAATGCTGAAATCGAAAAAGGCGCTGAATGAAATCATCTCTTTTTTTTTTCATTTTTACATATTCCAAAAGTGAAATATGATTATGGATGTGAAGTTTTTGATACCATACAGAGAGATAACACTCAGCAGAAAAAAACCCGGGATGGTCTGGATGACTACATAAAACTTTTTTAAAAGACTTCATTTTTATGAGTACGTTTCTCACTGAGGCTGTCGGAGTCATTCAAGTTGCTATTTCAAAATCGTTACCAAGACTGCATATTAAAATATTTCCTATTTGGATAGACATTTGAAATATGCTAATTAATGATAGAGTGTAAATGTGTGTTGTTTTGCTATTGTAGCTTTGTATTAAAAAGGGACATGCACATCTATTTAGAAATTTTTCATAAATTATTTTCGTATGTAACCACAATATATTTTTATCATGTCATAATACAGTGACAAAATGCATGTCAACATTTACTTATTAAATCAAAACCTTATAAAAATGATGAAAAGTGTAGATGCTTTTAAGTTAATTTTACTTCTACTAAAAGTGAGAGGTAAGTGAAAGGAATACTGGATTCAAACTTGGATTAATATTCATCCTAAATACTATGTGAATGCATTCTTACCACACATAGCAAAAACATATACATTCCTCAGTGTCATTTTTATTATGGAGCATAAAATTAGGTGCAATAGTTTTTCTTTATTGTAGTATTATGAAGGAAGTATGCTAAGCTGCTAAAGATAAAACTTTATAGTGACTAGATAATAAGATAATAAACCACTTTAATCAAACTTTTAAGGGTGATCCTTATTACCCTATTCAAACCAACGTGAGATTCAAAATTCAGTGTTTGAACAGAACTTATGTGAATACAGGATTGGTTGATATGTTTGTTTTTTATTAGTATCATGTAGAGCTGAGCAGAACAAAATGGCCACCTGTGTTTAAAGCAGCTCTTAAATAATTTTGAGTTAAAGCTGAGTAGTTGAATACTACAGTATTTTTTTCTCTATATTTTGAAACAGAAACATTTATCCCATGAATAGAAGAAATTTTCATCAATATCAATCACGTGTCACCCTCTTTGCAAACAGATGACATCACTTTACCAAAGCCCGACAGAATCAGACTCGAAACACAACAGTTAGGAAATAGATGAGAGGGTACAAGTTGTGATAACTTCTGATATAGTCGTATTCTTTACTTAGGGACAAATAAAAATAAACAAAATAAACTTTGGAGTGAGTCAAAATTTCAAGTAAAAAAGAAACGTGCTAATTGAGAGAATATTTATTTGTCATGTTGGCATAAAAATAGTTAAATTAGAGATCGTTTCATGAATTCCACAAGATATATCTCCCTGTAATAAAGGAGAACTAGAAATTGTGATAAACAGTAGTTGATCCAATCTTTGATCCAATTCTTGACCAACAGTAGTTGGACTCTTTGATCCTTGAAGACTAGAGAAAAAGAAATAGCGATCGGCAATAAAACGGAGTCTTTTGTGGGTGTTGCTGATTCTGTCATGGACAGTGAACAGCTTGTAAATGTGAAGGATCCTGTATGAAATGGCACGTTGACACAGTTTAGCTACATCAACAGGCTTCTTATTTCTAGTACGAGTAAACAGATATATTCAAATAATTTTGACTGATCTAATGATAGAGCTTAACATGAAGATACATGAAAAAAATAGAGGTTGCATATCTGTTTATCTAAAAGTGTCCTTTAAAACTATCAAAAATAATCTGATTTTGGTACAGAAGTTGCATTTACCTAGAACTTATACTTTGGAATATTTCAATAACTATTTTGTCTTTTTTTCTAGTAACATAGGTGTTGCAAGAAAACAGATATATCCTAAGGTAAAAACATGATATTAAGATCTGATTTCAATGATTTTATTTAAGGCTAGATCAACACAAATATTTATGAAAATAGCACCATTTCACATTAATACCTACAGTACTTAACTACACCCTGAGTTAACTTTCAGGTTGTATGTAAGCCTTACACAGTAATGGCTGAAGCAGGCAAATATTTCGCCCTTTACAGGAATCAGAACTTGCTGGCAATAATATCTGTCGCCCAGCATACGGGCTGAGGTCTCCCAGATCTGAGTTTGAATCAGATGATATTTGAAGTATCTGTGCAAATTTGGTCAAATTACCTAATCTTTGTGAGCATTCCTCTACCACATGTGAAGTGAGGTCCACTCAACCTGTTTCACATGATTGCTGTAACCCAGCACAGTCCGAACCTGCCAGAACAAAGGCTCCATAAATGACAGTCTGTCCTTTGTCATCATGGCTTTTGTTGCCATTCAGTGGGAACATGCAGTTCCCTTCCTCATGCAGCTCTCTGTGACCTGGTGAGCATCACAGCACGCTTGAAATATAAGTCAGTGTCCTCACTTGCTGTGTAAGGCCACATGGTATCCTGACTGCTTCCTGCTACAGTTCTTCCTTCCTCTTCCAAACTCACTAACTTAACTCTTTCAGTGTTATGTTCTAGGTCTGAAACAATCTCCCTCCACTTTTCTTTCACATCTTCACTTGTTTCAGGTCTGTGATCAACTGCAACACCCTCAGAAAATCCTTCTTGATCTCCCCCGCTGTGACTCTTGCTACAACGGGTCTTCAAGTCACTTAGCCTGGTGGGTTATTATATATAGTTTACTTGCTGCCTCCTTTACCCCCAGTAGAATGTAAACTCCACATGGACAAGGAATTGTCTGTCTTGTACATATGTTATTGTCTACAGTTGTTTCTAGCATGAAGTGTGTGGCCAGTAATTGTTTCCAACATGAATGTTAACAGTGAATTCCAATTTACTTGACTTCGTCATACATAGGCGTCACACTGATGCTTACTGACTACTAACATGAAATTGTCTTGTTTTTGTGTTTTCAAAATAGGTTACCATTGTGTAGTTCTTGGGCACAGACTTTCAGAATCTTCAGAAATTACATATTTAGCATTTTAACTTGATTTACTAATAGCATATGCCTGGTGAGAAAGAAAGTAATGAAGTTACACTGTTCAGTCAACACAGCCCCTTTGATGATCGCTGTGGGAAGTCTCATGTGAGTTAAGTTCCCATGAAGTGTGATGAATATACAAACACACCCGCACGAGAACCCGCTTACTTCAGAGCACAGCTTGGTAACAAAAGCAAGGTTCGGTTCGCAGGGCCCTTCAGTTCCCACAAGGCAGCTTCACGTTCTTTTACATCGTAGTACACTAGACATGATGCTTGGGCACTATTTAGAGAGAAATGGAGGCAAGGAATAAGTTGCTTTTTATGTCTCCAATTATGTTATCTTTCTATTTATGCAATCTGTCACTTAACTAATCTATCTATACTCCTCTGTGCCCTATCATTTGTCTACCTGCTATTTAATCTATAATCTGTCTAATGTATTTACCCACCAAATATCTACCGATCAATCGAACACCTATTAATCTATTCTCTCGTTCTCTCTCACTTTGGAGAGAAATTGTGATTTCTGGAGGAAGGTGGCTAGCGTCTCATCACAAAGTAGGTTTTGGACCTGTTGGAATTTGTTACTGCCCCTTTTTACCTTGAGAGCGCTGATGCTGGGAGCATGAATGATTGTTCTTAAGTGAAAGGGCTAGAGAGAAGGCTGCATTGAGGCCAAAGGTAGTTCCTAGTGTCTGACAGGGCAAAGTCACCAAAGCATCCCATAGGCTAATTGATTGCAACTGTAGAAATTTCGCACAGAAGGTTAAAGCTGAGAGTAAGCTTAAATCAGTCATCCAAAGAATATGTCACAAAGCTAAGGAACAATGGGGACCTCACATGCTTAAAATGTCTCTGAATCCCCCATGCATGAGCCCCAGGAGAAAGTGCCTGCAGGCTGATGCCTGCCATCATACGGGACTCTGGCTGTGAAATTATGGCAACACCAGCCATGTAATATGCTCATCTCTCATCACTCCTTCCAGGCACCAGAGGTTGAGACTGTGGAGTAAGGGGAGAGGGTGAAAGGACTTTTTATTGGAGGTGAGGTTAAAGTCTTCTGAAAGATTTTTTTCCCTTAGTTTGACAATGACCAGAAGCTATGCAAAGTTGCTGAGACTTGGACAAAGTAGACATCAGAAGGTCATGCAAATGTATCTTAAAAAAGAACATTAAACAGGTTCATTCCCTCCAAGTTACAAATTTAATCAATAAACTGGATACTTTAACATACCAAATCAATTTGACATTTCATATAGTTTAAATAATTTAAAATGCAATGTTCTAATATTGAGCATAAGTAAAATACAAACATATAATTTATAGCATTCTCAAAACATTTGAGAACATATTCAAATCAATACACAGTTTATTTCATGCTGTTTCTTTGTAGTTACACATTTTAATATTTAAAATGCGATATGTTCTACTGAACTGCAGTGCTAAGTGATTTATATCAGCTACAAGTAAGACTGGATGTGGAAATTACAGCATATTCATGATTACATAGTGTAAAATGCTATAGAATGTTTTGTTTTGAAAAGGGAACATGATGGGTGCTGTTCACATGTTTCTGCAATTTTACCTCATTTACATGCTAGTTAAAATAGTACTTTCTGAGTTATTTTCTAGTTGCTAACATTTCTCTGTTGCATAACCTTGGGCAAGTTGTTTAATGGATTGTATTTGGTAACTTTATCTGCACAATGGGGATATTAAGAATATATAACTAATTCCTACCATGGTAGGAATTAGCTGAATACATAAATACACACACATACACATGTATTATATACATGTATTATATATAAACACATATAAAGAGAGCTATACATATAAACAGAGCTATATATGTAAATGAGCCATATGGAACATGACATTTTGCCTAATATTTTTAACATAATAACTGTTATTGTATGATTAAGTTTATCTCTAATAGAGTTTGTAGACTGGTCTCCTTACTACAGAATTACGATAGACAAGAACAAAATTAATTAATTCAGGACAATAATTAGCTTGCTGTCACTTTCTGCCTCACCGCCTTGTCCCTTCCAGGAAAATGTTCCATTATTACAAATGGGAAAAATAAAATTGTTCAAGCTAATAGTATGTATCAGATGTACTAGTTGGAATGGACTCTGATATGTTTAAGGAAAAACTACCAAGTTTGGTAATAACCACATTTTGAGGCAACTTCTGAGAATAGACCATGTAGACAAAATCATCAATAAAGAAAGATTCTTGTTGCTCATTTTGCTACTAGTTAAAAAAAATAAATATATTTCCATATTCTATTAGAACTACACAGAGAAACATAGGCTTACCTCAGGAAACAAGAATAATGACAAATATGAATTATAAGCTCACAGCTAAAGGAACTAGAAAAAGAAGGAAAACAACGTCAGTTGGCAGAAGGAGATAGTAAAACATAGACAGAAATTAATGAAATAAAGATCCAAAATATAATCCAAGACCTTTGAAACCAAGAGCTGGTTCTTCAAAAAGACTCGCAAAATAGATAACTTTTAGCCAGACACACAAAGAAGAGCGACAACATCAATAAATAAAAGAGAATTGACATCAGTTCCTACAGAATTCCAAGGAACATAGAGAGTACTACAAGCAGAGCAATTTACATGTCTAGTCAATGGACAC